GTTAGCAGCGTCTTCCACATTTCTCCCTTTCCCACATGGCTTCTTAGCCAAGGGACAAAATTTAATTTTTATATTTACAGTTTGTGGGCTGCTATACATAGTTTACTGGTTGGCTTTGAAGTTGTTGCATGTTATATTCTCAGAGTTTGTACACAATATTGGAATGAATTGTCTGGTGGCAAGCCAGAGAAGGGGCATGGCCCGCACAGACTATGTTACAATATTGAACTGCCTCCAGAACTGCAGAGAGGAGCCCATATATCTCCGAATTGTGAGAGACAGATAACAGAAAAGAAATTATCAGGGAAGAAATTTCCCATTCATTTAGTTTTGAGATGCACACATTGTTGGATATATTTCTCTTCTGTTTTCTAATACTCCTAAGTATTAAAGATTTGGGATAGGTTAGACTGATGGCACATCATAATTTTACAGAGTTACTGAGTAAGATTTAGTAAGATAACCAGTATGTTAATTGACAAAATGGATTTATGGTAAAATATGGTATTGTAATATTTCACAATCTTGTAAATAAAAAAAACCATGCTGATTATTGCACACTTATTATGTGGCAATTTTATTCCAACACATTCAAACCTTTACTGTATGGGAATTCATTTTTATGTAGGATTTCTGAATATTTATGTTAAGGAACTGTTTCAGATGTATGTTGCATTTATTTTGCCATGGCACTTAAATAATATCCTTAGAAAAATCCCTATATTTTATTGTTCTTCTGACATAATTATTACTTTATTTTTCCCTGGAAGCTAAGCGAAGCCAGTCTATCAGCAACTGTGTTCATCTTTATGAGGCTTTGCCAGCCACTAAAAGTGTACCTCTTCTGCTTCACACTGTGAGCTCTCTCTTACCTGGTATCTCTTACACTTCTTGCTCTCACAGACTTTCAGGTACTGTACTTAAAGCCATCTTGTATCTAAATGTTCTTTATATTTTTTAAACTGCTGTTGCTGGCTTTTTCTGTCTCCTTAATTATTCTAGTGCGTTAGTATGGTTTACACTGCACTCTCTGTCTCTCCTTATCTTACAATTAATCAGTAACAACTTCTGTTGTTAAAGCAGCATTTTGTAGTCCTTGGGAGATATTTCCTCTTTAATCATAAGGTTATCTCATGTTCACTATCAAATTTTGTTTGGATGGTAAGTACTGATATTTAAATAATTCTAGTGATTTTTATTTTTGGGTCACTGGAACTGTACTTACTGTCAAAATGGGGCACCATTTTGAGGAAGAGGAGAACAAAACCTTTTAAAATATTTCTTTTTTGGAGTAGTTTCAGGGAAAATATTCCTAAAACTATTTGAATGATGCTTCAAAACAAATCATGCTGGAAAAATCCAGCCAGCCATGGTTTTTCGACAATAAATCCCATTCACTATCAATCTAACAATGAGGTCACACAAGTTAATGCTAATTGTAAATGTTTGCCTCTAAAGACATTTTCCTGGGGATCCTGATTTCAGAAACAAAAAAACTTTCTATCTATGCTTCTTATTACCAAAAAATTATTTAAACAGACAAGGCTTAGATAGTATCATTTTCTGTTTTTGTTCAGACGTTTGCGGCCTCACAAACTATTCTATTTTATACACTTAAACATTAAGGATTTATCTTGACCTACAGTTTGTCTTCCTTTGTAACTAAATTAAAATGTATCTGAATTTAATTGCCTTCCCATTAATTATATAGACTGGCTGAGTCAGGTAATATCTTGTATTAGATGAACTTTTGTTGTTGAAAGATACAAGCTTGACCACTCCATTGAACTAAAAATAGACCCATTAAGTTAGTGCTGGAGACCTAAGCTTTATTTTAAATAAAAATGTAAATTCTTGCTTTTGAGAGGCCTCGGCATGTAAAGCAACTAATAGAGTTTTATCAATGTGAAATTTAGGATATTTTCCATTAAAATTGAAGTGAATCAGGCAATTCATTTATAAACGAACACACTCAAAGGTGGGGTGGTCAACGGAGAGTGTGGAGAGGGGAATGTCTTCCTTTTTTGCTGGTCCCCACCACAATCCCCTGCTAGCCCCACTGCTCCCTTCTGCAGACTGCCTTTGGTGTTCACTTCATGTAGACTTTAGGAGATGTGCAGGAGGTAGGCATGGAGAGGGGCAGCAGAACAAAGGTGCCAACAGACAAAGATTTGAAAGGCATAGTGGAGGAGTAGGGAAGGGTAGGGGGAGTGGAGAAGAGTTGTGTTGAATTCTCAGGGATGGCCTTGAATTGTTCCTCAGTGAGTTGAAAGCTTATGGAAAGTTCAGTGTACCTTATATGCTTGTTATGTAATATTGTTTGAAGAAACCAGAGCTTGGAATCAATGGTGTAATCTGTATTTGTCTGAACTAAGATTCTGAGTAGGGTTTTCAAGGCTCCCAAGGAATTGCCCTAGCAAGAGACCAAAACGTTTTTAAGAGGAGAGGAAGTGTGCATATGTGAATCATTGGATACTTGTTCTGATGAGTCAGTTTTGATAGGATATGTTTGCTATCCCGTTGGGATATTTTCTAGGAAGGAGCTGGATGCTAGCTTAGGCAGGGAGGCAGGGAGCATTAACTAGCATCACTGCCAGGCCTGTCACTACCACCACAACCATATGCTAGGACCCATGACTTTTCAAAAAGAATCATCTCCACAATTGTGTTCTGACTAACTCCTGAGATATGAACCTAAGGTTCCTGCTGTCACTCCTTTGCTTGTGTGTTGTTTTCCCTTTTTCCCCACTTGACTCCTCATATGTCTCTCTTCTCTTTATCTGTTTGACTTCAGTTAATGAGACTTCAGCTTAACCTGCCAGGACAAGTCAAACTATTCAATCTTTTGCTGTGTCCAGAGAGGCAAGATAAAGTGATACCATAGTTCAATTCTGGTAGTTGTTTGCCAGATCCTGAAGAGGCTAATAAGGTTGTGTGCTACTCATGTTACTTTTCCAGCAAATGAATTACAGCTGTAGACAGAGACAGATGCTGAATTTTGCTGTGTTTGCTATCCTTTTCTTTCTCCACCTTTGTGTGCTTGTCTTGTTCTATCTTATGAAGAAACATGATCAGACTTTAACACCTAAATCCAAGAGCTAACACTTAAAACTGAGTCTCCATTTTTCCCAACAAGCATATTTGATATCATCTAAGAAACTGTCAAGAAGGAGGTTTTGCTGTCTTATAAAGAGAGAAGGAATGAGAGAGAGTATGTTAAAGTTATGGTTTACATAATTTTTAAAAATGCTTTAAATCTCTAAACTTTTTTCTTTTTGTATATTTAATATATATTGAACAGACTTTCTGAAATTGGTAATGCAAAACAAATTTCCTGGCAACATAAACCTGAACCAAGTTAGTGTTGTCGTTGAGGCAGTTAAATAAATAACAAATAGGTAACTTAAATTTTTTAACATGCTAAAAACCCTATCCAGTCCCCACCACAGCAGATAGTATTGCTCATACTTAACTAACCCTGCTAATAGCCTTGGGACACTTGCTGAGGATTTTCCAACATGCCTTAGTAGTCTTATAGAGGGGTCCAACCCTTCATAAGCCTTAATAGGTTAATTGGGATCTCTTAATGATTCTGGTGGGGGAGGATAGTTTTATTAGGTTTGGCAGATTTTCATGGCCCTCAGGGTCACAAGCCCCCTGATGAACCTAAATAGAACTGTCCAAAGACTGACTATCTTATTAGGCCTGTCAGGTGACTAATGATTCAGATTTTGCTCATCAAGAAAGAACAAGTTTTCTAAGGTTAGGAAGGATTGATTGGACACCGAAAAGGAATCTATGGCTCATATTGGATATTTTTAAGCTCTGCCCACCTATCTCATAAGGCTAATAACAGAACCTCACATTCCTTATACCACCTGCATGTAGGGAGTTTAGGGAAGGGGGAGGGGTATAAATTTGCTAATACCTGCAGAGTGGACCTCCTGTGCACCTCCTAAGGTGTGCAGGTATTGCTCTTATGGATGTGAGACGATCCACTGGAAGGACAGGGATCCCCCTCCCCCTCCTCAGTGTGCTGCTCCTTATATCTCCTATTCTTCTCCCAACTTACAAATCTCATAAGGTCCCCAGGAAAGGATCCAGCTTTCTGTGCACATTCTAAGGAATGCAGGAAAGGTGATCCCCTCCTGTATGTGTAAGGAGGCACCTAAGTCTGAGTTGCAACATGGGAACAAACCAATGGTCTATTTAGTTCAGTGTCCAGTCTGTGCCAGCGGTGAATGCTGGATGATTGAGGAAGGCATAACTAGGTGAATAGGCTATGAGGGAGTCAGTAGGAATGGGGAGTGTTCTGCCCCTAGATTTTACTGTTATTGTTATGAATGTCTAATACTGCTTGAGACTTACTAATCTGTTTTTCTGAATCAAATCCCTTAGAAGTGAGTCCCGTTGGATAGTTATGCAAGGTGTTTATTAAACATATATATATATATATATATATATGTTGACTTAAAAAGTCAACAAATTCAAAATGTATATAAGAATATATATATTCTTTTTATCCATTTTGAATTTGTTGACTTTTTAAGTTTCCATTTCTTCCTTTATTATGGGAAAAGTAAATGGGAACACCAAATTAGTCTTCTCTATACTGTTCATTAATTTATATATCTTCTCTCACCCTTTTCCTTTCTAGACTAAAAAGTCTTAGTCTTTTTAATCTCTCTCCATGTGACACCTCCCCCCTCCTCCCCCGGCCCTCAACACCCACTCTATGACTCTAATAATTTGAGTTTCCCTTCTCTGAACCTCTTCCTAATTCTGCTGCTGGAATACATTTTTTAATGAATTTCTTTTCAGTTGTGGAGAGCATTTGGTAACTAAAATTGAATTTTTTCATTTTATTCTTATAATTTCTATGTGTTTTAAATATTTAGCTTGTTCATCTTTTCACCTGACTTTGCTATGTTAGTGTGCAGTAAATGTGCAAAGACTTTTAGAATCCTTGTAACACATTTTATTTTAATTGAAATCTGCAGAAGTTGAAGAAGCTCAGCAATCAGAAAATACAACAGGAGCAGAGTCTAGTGGCCTCTTTGCAGACCAGGACCAACAACTAACTCGAAGCAGTAGCACTTCAGACGTTACAGACCAATTTAGTTCTGATTTTTTTCAAGGTAAATTTTGTGACATACAGTAGCTATACAGTATTAAGCTGCCTTTGAATCTCATTAAACTACATTTGTGAATTGGAAGGAAAAATGTCCCATTGCTATTTTATGAATGTATATTTATGCCATAATGTCTGTTCATTTAAGCTATGGTACAATAAATCCTGTTATTCAGTGTTCCAAACCCTGTTTTTTAAATAACAAATTTAAATGTAACACAAACATGCTCCTAAAATAATACCTCTGAATATCTCCATCCACCCACGCATTGAGGATGTTCAATAGTATAAGTATCTCACTTAAAAAGTTAGTTTTAACCCTTTGAAGGTGCATTAAAAATGGCCAAGGAAAGTATATTTAACCTTAGTCTTTGGCTACATTAGAAAAATTAGGACTTAATTTACCAGTGCAGCTTCTAATTCAGCATCACTGGATGCTGTAGTGTAGGTAAGAGCCATTTATTTTTACCATCATGCTTTAAAAACAAGTTCTGCTTTACATAATTAAAATGTAATTTATCTCTTGCAAAAAAGTAGTGCTATGATTGTATTTTTCTGTACTGGAGTACTTGGTAGTGTTAATTAATTTGAACTCTTAACAGGGTTAGATGACTTGGTGAACACATTAGAATACTACAGTTTCCACTCCTTGTGCAACCACTGATGAACTGCAAGTCCTAATTTTCCAGTATAGCTGTAAGCTTAGAGTGGTCACCAATAAAACATTAACACTTCCTGCTCATAAGTAATTCTTTTTGCACATACTCCCCATTGTAGAGGAATACAGTGGTAACATTAATTACGTGCAGGTGGTAAACTTAATGAGCTGACCAGTTTTCAAAATAGCTTCAGTGAACTCTCGCTGTTCCCTAGTGTGGACAAGAGCATTCATAAAAACTTCCTGTTTATAATGTTTTGTTTATAGGAGAATATGTTGCAACCTTCCATGTGAGTTAGTTACAGGCGCTTTATACTATGGCAGGTCTACACTTAAAACGCTGCATTGGTTAGGTCCCTGCCGACATAGGGCTGTCTACACTGGTAGTTAGGTCAGCGGATTATTCGTACCCCTGAGCAACGTAACTGTATAGTGTAGACCAGGGCTTTGAGTACCTTACCAATGATTGAAAGACAGCTATCATTGGCTAGTAATTTACCTATATAGTTTTAGAGATGTTTCCTCCAGGGTTTATCTGCTGTGATGCTGACTATACTCTTGGCTACATCCATTTGCCTGCCATTCATCTAAGAAGTATAGGGAACAGTCAAGCAAACTTTCTTATCTGCCTTATTGAAGGGCCTCATAAATGGACACTGAGCAGTTTAGTGAGATATTTGATTTCATTGTATAATTGATTTGCCATTAGCACGTAGCCTGATAATATTTTACCTGCTATGCCCCAGAAAGGAAGTACCAGCAGACAGGTCACATTAGTGGAAAGGTGTTGGGAATCTTGAGTGTCCATTCTATGTGCTCTATCTGTTCTGTGGGAAATATAACTTCATTTTCCAGCTCTATTGTTCCAACACTTTTCACAAGCACTAAATTCTCTTTGACAAATGTCTCGTTTTTAGTTAAGTTGTAAAAAATCAATTTGGCTTTAGGCAGTTGTCATTTGGAAGTGTAGAATATCATCTTTGTTAAAGCAGGACTTGTCTCTCAATGAAAGCCACTGAAAATATCTGTGATTGGTGTGTAATTTGTCATTTCCAGAATCTAGCACTGCGTTTACATTTCACACACCACAACTAAAGATTTTAGTTGTATTCTCATAACGGCAGTTTTTTACACTATTTATGAGGGAATTATCCACATAATTGAATGCTTTCATGATATAAATGATTCCACAACAATTCTACACTATCATATGAGAATGTCATATTCAATCACTTCTCTGTAAATATTAGAATGATGAAAAAGATGCACTTATTTAGTGCTGTTTTGAATCGTTTTAGAATTAGCCCACAGACTCCATTTCCGTAACTGTCTGTATTTCTTGTCTCATTTGTTTACTTTTTAAAATTTTGATTATGCAGATAAAAAGACTGAGAGTTCGCAGAATTTAAATTGTTCGGATTCCAAATCCATTCAAGACAAGAAGGGATATATGAAGAAAGAAAATGAAGCCGAACATGTAAGGCAAAATTGATAGGCTCTGATCCAAGTTCTAATATTTGACAAGGTCCTAAGAACTTTTCATTTCTAATTATTAATATAAATTTTTAGAAAGGATAACAACTGAAATTTTAAGTTTGTGGATCCCATTAATGATATAGAAATTGGAATAAAACTGTAGCTGTTAATAGCAAGTATTTTGAATATTCTGCATCTTCTAATACTATAAGGCTGTAACACTCGTTTATGGAAATACTATAATGAAGATTACATAAAGCAACAGATAAAGACTATGTATACGTGTGTGTGTGTGTGTGTGTATGTGTGTATATATATATATAAATAAACACAGAGTTCATAACTGTCATATAAATAAAATATATTCATTACCGAATTGCATAGTACTTAAACAAATGTTTGATAGTTCATGAAGTGTTCAGAGAAATGCCTTTCTCAGCACAATTTGCACCATCGGCCATTTATTTCAAAACTTTGTCTATGTCAGCATTCTGACTGACAGGTTTTTTAAATTTTTCATGTTACTTTTGAATAAACAGCAGAAATAATTGATGATTGAAACTGGTGATACTGTTAGAAGTGCAATGCAATATCAGATTGATGACTGTAGTTTGAAACTCTGGTTTGGTCCACTGCTCTTAAGTGGGTGTAATCTAAAAGCAACATTGGGACTACACACTTGGCTCGAACAGAGGGGGAACACTATGTATTGCTCTGCTGCAGTTTCTTTACCCAATTCAGGCAAAGACAATGGGGGTGGGAGTAAGAGATTAACCCTCCTCCCCCCTTTTTATGTTGTTGACATGCTGGTCAAAATTTTTACTACCTCCTGATAATGCTGCCATCAATATCACACTTCCCACTTCCTTTGCAAGTTGATATTGAGGTTGTGGCCATATTTATTGCATAAATAACTGAAAATATTATGTGAACCAGTGCACAGCTCAAAAATTACTACATGCTGGATTTCTCTGACCACTGCTCAACATGAACCTGATTTGTCGGGGAAAACAAAACTGTATGCAGTCTTCCAAACAGTGCAAGCAGCTGCATATGCCTGAGGATTGATTGCCAATTCCTTCCCCACAAAAATCAGCTGTGGGGCCACAAGTTCCAGAAAGACAACCTCTGCAAATGAATTCATTGCCTCCTGCATGGCAGTGCTTCGGCCTGAGAAACCAAGTAGGGTGAAAAGTTGGTCATAAGGCCTGACCAATGTATCAAGAACCCTTAAGTTCTTTTGACATCTAGGTCATCTTTCCTTTTTAAAAAATTAAGAATATTAATTGCAAATAAAAAAAATAAAACAGACCTCCCCCTACCCCCCCGTATTGATGTAAAATTTTAACTGATAAGTTTTTAACACCCATATAATCTAGGAAATTTAGAGTTAAAGTTTCCACAGCAACTAACTCTAGTAACATGCTCCTACTGTATGCCTTATGTGATATGGTCTTTTATTAATAGAATTATAGAAATGTAGGACTGGAAGGGACTTCAGTAGGCCATCTGGTCCAGTCCCCTGCACTGAGGCAGGACTAACTCTGAATAAGTCAGAGTTAGTTTTCAGTGATACTTATGTATAAATGTATATGCATCTTAATAGAGGAAAATATTCTAACATCTTATGGGATATATTTTTCAAATTAACCATAAATGAATTGAGAGGAATTCAATTTTATATTTTTTCTGAAGGTTTTAATACGAAGGAGCAGCAGTCCAGCTGAATTAGATTTGAAAGCAGACTTGCAGCAGTCACATGGAAATCATAGAGAAAGAGAAATGAGTGAGTTCCAGGAAACCAAATTATTTTTCTAAGGAGTAGTAGTTTGTGGTGGCATGTACTAATTTGACTAATCACATATATAATATTGGTTACTTTTAACCATGGTTTTGAAAATAAGATTTTTTTTTTTATTGTAGAACATTGCTTATGACACTTAGTAATTCCTGTTTACTTTAGGTGAAAGTGTTAGCAGTGACACGTTCATTGGCTACAATAATGAAGTAGAGATTACCCTGGTCCCCTGGCAAACATGTGAAGAAGAACATGAAGTTAATATACCAACAGATGTTTGTGTAGATGCAGATGCTCGTCACTGGCTGCAGCTTAGTCCTTCCGATGCTGCAAATTTAACAGGTACCTACGTTCAAGAAAATGCAATAGATATTGTAGATTTTTGTCACAAAACGGTAAAACTTACACATGCTAGTTTATACAACTCAATTTGCATGCACTTTTTTGCTTTTTAAAAGTGTTTGTTTTAAAGTAGATGAGAATTATTTGACATTAAATGTAACCCTAATGTCATAGTTCATCTTTTAAGATAAAATATTGTAAAATCGTAGTAATGCTTTGTTTTCTTAATTTTGAATAATATTAATAACACTGTGTACTGCACTAGTGTCTAGAAAGTTAACCCTTCCTCAGAGAATGTGTTAACACTCCTCTTACACTTCATCACAATGATGTATCGGTTTGATTCCCTAGGCCAAATGTTGCACAACAAAATACACACAGACACACACGAAAATGGAAGACCATGAAACACACCGAGCAAATGTATACTGAATGTTATTAAATGAGGGACAATTCTGGAAAAACATGATAGTGGAAAGAATGTCAGACATCACTAGTATCTCAAAGGGAAGGACATCTCCAAGATCCTTGTTTGTCCTCTGATTATCTTTCATCTTGAGATTTGGTAGTGACATAAGTAATTAGATATTTAGAAAGTGGAGAAAGAGATCTGTAGTCACAAGAATATCATGTAAGGGTTAAGAAACTGGGTCTACTAGAGTTAAAATTGGCAGTAGAACTTAATATCCTACTATTTAATTACACTAGATACCATTTTAGAATCATAGGAATGTAGGGTTGGAAGGGATTTTGAGAAATCATTAAATCCAGGTCCCCGCACTGAGGGAAGGACCAAGTAAACCTAAACCATCCCTGACAGGTTGTCCAACCTGCTCTTAAAAACCTCCAATGATGGGGATTCCTCCGCTTCCCTGGGAAGCCTGTTCCACAGGTTAACTATCCTTATAGTTAGAAAGCTTTTCCTATTATCTAACCTAAATGTCACTTGCTACAGCTTAAGCCCATTACTTCTCATCCTAGCTTCAGTGGACACAGGGAATAATTGATGATATCACTGAGACACTTTTGAAAATCCTGTACTTAGTTAATATCTCTTCCAGCCTCCCAACTCTTGAAATGTATCATATTTTAATGAGAAGCAACTAATACCTTTATGAAGATTTAAGAGACAGGTTGTCTGTACACAAGGGCAGGTATTTGGCTCAACCTTGTAAGTGTAGCTTTGGAGATTAAAGAGCAAAGTTCTGATGGCCTATGATTGATAATTGGTATAAAAATAGAAGACTGAAATGGTAGTTAACTTCTGTTTCATATGGAAAGCAGTAAGGGGGCAAAACTAAAGACATGTCAAGTACCTATACAAAGTTCCTTCCAAAGGTTATCAAAGAATATAGTGGTATTGACTATATTCTCGTGCTTTTGTTCCTTGCTTTTCATTTTCTATCTCTTGTTTCCTTCAGATAGAAACTTCATTACCACTTTACTTTCATAGAGTGCATTTATTGGAGATTAGAAAGATACTACAGGTCTGTCTCATCTTACGCGGGGGTTCTGTTCCGTGGTTAGCGCGTAAAGCGAAAACCGCGTGTAGTCAAAATTACATTGAGTTCAATGGCGGGCGGAATCCCCTGCACTACAGGTACAGTATTAAAATTTTTATTTTTCTTTTTTTTTTTTTTTTGCTGACCACGTAAAGCTGAAATCGCGCATGCTAAATGCGCGTAAGATGTGACAGACCTGTATAAGTAAATAAGGGGGGAAATCCCATTTACTAGCCATGATTCAGGAAGAAAGAATGTGCTATTCTTCAGTTGCTGTTCTTTCCTTATGACAATGATTTTCCCAAGATTAAACATTTGGAATCCATGTCTCCAAGCTTTAGCTTTGAATGCTGAATCAGAAATGGGAATTGCAGACTCCCTTTATTAAAAGATTTAGAAAGTCAGACTGAAGATAATGGTAAATTGTAATTCAGTATTTATACTCTCTGAAACAACCACTCTATAGGTACAATCTTTGTCCAGTTGAAGTCAATAGTAAAACTCTTACTGATCTGGGGGGAGAGGGGTGGGCAGGATTTCACCCTCTATGTTGAAGTTTTTTGTATAGTATTGTGCATATGCTTTAATTATTTAGAAGTCTCCAGTGTCATTAGGAAATACATTAGAATATGGATCTAATGAAGGGAACCCCCTAAGAAAAGTCAGTTTGTTAGTAATTTTCCTTTACCCTTTTCATTTTAATTGTTGTAACTTTGACATATAGGATACAACATTTATGACTATGTATTGTATTCTTTTGGTGCTTTGTTCTTTGTAAAGGCTACCTTCCATCTAATTTTTAATAAGTGCATCATAGATTTTATTTCAGTAACTTAATCAGGTAACATAAGAATTTTTCTGGTAGGCTATTTTCTATGATGAGATATAGTTTCAGGGTTAGCTACTCCATTTATTCAATTATTCTTTGAAATACTACTAATATAATGAATAAGTGCACCCAGTTCAATAGTTCAGCTTGTCATCAGTACAAAGGGAGATTGTAATATAACATATGTTAAGGATTATTACCTATGTGAAGAAGACAAATTGCTAGCTTGCTTTCTATCCATAATACAAGAACTTTGCTCTTTGCATATGCAAAAGAAATCTAGTTTTATAAAATAATTTGATCAGTAACCTAGAGTAGAAAGGCAAATGTAGTAATAAGATTGTAATTACCTAACAGAATGAGTGTGCCTAACTGTATTTCACATGTTGAGAGAGTGTTAGTCATGTTAAATATTAATATCTTTCTTTCTTTCTTTTTTTGAAACCATTTTTAGATTTAGTGGGGCTCAGAAATTCCAAGGTTTAATTCTTTGAGTTAACTTCATTTTCTTCTGTCTGATGTAAAATATTTGAGTTCATGCAGAAAAGATGGATGATTTGGCCTTTCATATCCTTTGAGGGATTCAAGTTTCCTTGTCAATGCTGGAATACTTCTGTAGAGCTCCCTGAGACACCCCCTTTTCCTATGGCACCACAGCTCCCTCAGAACCTTTGAGGGTTTCACTGAGCAACCAGCATATGTTAATAATGCATCATAATTCTTGAGGGGATGATGCCACAGAGAGCATCCCGCTCCTAAACTCATTACCTCCCAATGTGCAGAGCACCTACTCTGTAGTGCACCTGCTTGAATGGCTTCTCTTGGACTGTGGAAAGAACAAGAGCATGCTGTGGAACTGTTGCCATTACTCCTTTGGAGTTTCCACTGTAAATACTCCTGTTTTAGCTCTCCTCTGTGCACTGTAGTGGAGGGGATAATGTAATGAATTTCAGTAGATGCAGTAAAATGATACATCTAACTGGAGCTCACTTATGGTTTTCAGTTTATATTTTGGGTATTCGCGTTAATTTTACTTAGTGTTTTCATTAATACCTGTTTCTTCAAAGATAAGTGTATTTGGTCTTGTGATTTAAAAGTTCTCTCAAGCTAAATTTACAGTTTGTTTGTAGAAGCCTCTAGTGCTGGTGTTGGATAAGAATTTGTAATCAGTTGTAATAAACCAATCAGAAAAGAGAAATAACATGAAAATAGGAAGGACAGCAAAAGTTATGCTAATTAAAGTTCATGCATGCATATTGTATGAGATTTTTGAGTGATCGCACATGGCCATTCCACTGTAGGCATGGGTGCTCCTCGTGCACAGAGGCCAGAGATTTTTTTCCCCTCAGCAGTACCCATCAGGTGGCTTGTCCACTTTGTGTTGCCACATGCTGCTGCGCGCTGGTATAACGGGGTGGGGCCACCCCCGACTCCCCTCAGTTCCTTCTTAACACCAGTGAGGGTGGTTGGAACCATCTGGGTCTTATTAACTCAAGTGCCTTCCTCTCTCATTGTAGATAGTTGCAGTTAGTTACGGTTGGTTAGTTTTTTGTTGTTGTTTTTTTTTTTAAGTAAGTTAGCATTAGGTTTCTGTGTTTGTATCCATTTGGACCGGTTTTCCTCTTTTGGTACTGTGCTCGGTACCAAAAGGATGCCTTGCTCCCCAGGATTAAGTCCTGTGAGACTGGGAGTGGCTGGGTCACTACAAAAAGTAATTTTCCCTCTGTTGATACTCACTCCTTCTTGTCAACTGTTGGGAATGGGTCACATCCACCCTGATTGAATTGGCCTCGTTAGCACTGACCCCCCACTTGGTAAGGCAACTCCCATCTTTTCATGTGCTGTATATTTATACCTGCCTACCGTATTTTTCACTCCAGGCATCTGATGAAGTGGGTTATTGCCCACGAATGCTTATGCCCAAATAAATTAGTTAGTCCCTAAGGTGCCACAAGGACTCCTCGTTGTTTTTGCTGATACAAACTAACACAGCTACCCCTCTGAAACCTACTCAACAAAGGTTCAGGGAATCCCACTTGTTCTTTCCTTGATGTTTTCTATAATTGGCTTCCATGTATGCCTACCTGCATTGTTTAATAACATAGTCATCTTAATTCCCAAACAATTGACGTTTTTTGTTACTTATTTAAATTCTCAAAGTATAAACATGGTGGAATTGTAGGTTTTTTTGCTAATTGAGAATGATTTAATTTATATCCAGAAAAATCTCCAAACTTCTCCATGATGATTTAAGTGGTAGAAATAGTTTTACATGGATTTCTTACTAATAATAGCATGTCATCCCCTTGCAGTGTAATCCCGGACATAGCCTTCTGCTTCTGCTAGTAAATGATAAGTGGGAATGGTGCTTAAGGGGAGATCCTACCTAGTGAAATAAGAAAAAAAATGAAATTGTAAGCATTTTGTATGTACCACCACTACAGGGCATGAATAAATCATTGTAATCAAATACCTAAACTTTGAACCCAGAGCAAATTATTTAGGAGACTCTAGATACTGCTGTTAAACCCTAACAAAAGCCTTCTCTAATTACATGACCATCAGTGACAACAAATTATTCTTTGTCTGTCATGTAATGTGCCATTATCTGTAGATACTACCCACTTCTTCTGTAGAATAATTAATGAAGCTCAGTTTCCCTTTTATTTTGCCTAATCTGTTAGCCATGATTTTAGTAAGTAGTAGTCTGTGTTTTAATAATGAAAACCATTATTTCACTGTTTTGAATCTTTTTGTGTTTTCTGAATGGGGAAGATGACACAGTACTTGGGGTATTAGGTAAATTTTATTTTTTCCTAACTAAATTAATTGTACTGGAGTCAAAATTTCCCATATTTGACTCCTAAACGTATAAAGAAAGCATTTGTTTGTTCCCATTATTAACTTACTGCATCTAAGGGAATGCATATGGCTAAATGTCTTTTTGATGTTTTATTTCTGAGTTTCAAATGCCAATCATGTTGGAATTAGAAAAGGAGAGACTGGATGAGGATACCTCACAATAGGAAGTTCAAGAGGCTATAAAAGGGCCAAAATTGGATGCATCTCCAGGAGAAAAGATGACTTGACAGGGCAATTTTACCAGTTATCTGTAGAAACATTCCTTGAGAAAGTTGTTGCTCTGAATATATACTTTGGATAATGAATGCTTAAATTCATAGCTCAGAACTTTTTTCATGACCGTTACTCCCTTGTTTTATATGATTGTTTGTGTTTTGTGGACCACAGATAGACTACTCATTGTATTTATAAATGATGGAAACCAATTTTTTTTATTCTATAGACAGTAGCGAGTTCCTTGCTGATGACTGCAGTATAATTGCTGGTGGAAACCTCATAGGTTGGCATCCTGATTCAGCTGCTGTGTTATGGAGAAGGATCTTGGGAATTCTTGGAGATGTGAACAATATCCAATCTCCTAAAATTCATGCCAAAGTTTTTGGGTATCTCTATGAACTATGGTACAAACTGGCAAAGGTATTGTTTTTAATGTGTGTTTTATTCTAATGCAAAGAGTGTGATTTTGTATTTGCTATAAAAATTAATTTATAGTATATTCTAATAAAAGTTTACTAAGCAGTAAAATACACTTTTTATTAGAATATTTAAGGAGTTTCAACTGCTCATGCTGGTTCTTTTAGTGATACTGTAATTTTAACAGTGAAGTAACCAATGAAGTGTGGTGTTTGGAGGGAAAGGTTGCATTGTAAATAAAGAAAAAGGATGTTTGAATTTCAGTAAAAACACCTAATAAGAGACAATTCTGTGTAGTAACAAAAAGGATTTAAATTAATATATTCTGAGATGGTAAAATAGTGAAATAGAAGCAATGAATTAAAAGTACAAAATAATTCACAAATGTTGGGAGTTAGTGTAAATTTCCACAATACACCCTTAAAATGATAATATTTGATTAGGATGGAGGAATACTACCACACACTTTTCTGTTGAATTTGAGTTCATTGGAAAGTGTGTGTGTGTGTGTGTGTGTGTGTGTGTGTGCGCGCACGCGCGCACGTGTGAGAGAGACAGAGGACAGCACTTCCAGTAGAAAGGCTGGGAAGTAATCATGTATTGTAAATAATACTCATTTTAATGTATTAAGTATTATTTTATTAATCCCCTCCCTTTTCTTTTTAAATTAGATAAGGGACAATCTTGCTATAAGTTTGGACAACCAGTCTACACCCTCTCCTCCTGTTTTAATTCCACCTGTCAGAATATTTGCATCATGGTTGTTCAAGGTAAATTAGTTTTAAATTCTGCGCAGAGTAGTATTTTGCTGCATGTCTATATTGAATCACTTAATAGCATTTTTACGGTGTTGCTTTCTGCAATCCTTATTGTTCTGGATGTATTAGAAAAATAATCAGTGTCCACCCTTTAGCTTTACTTTTGTCTAGAATAGCTAAGTGACTCTTGAGAATCCATATTTAGAATGTGACTTCAAAACATTTATTGACAAGCATACATACAGTTGGTTGCTGTATATTGCAAATTTTCTGGCTGGAGATACAGATTTGAACTATTTAGTAACTAGAAGAGATCTCTTAATAAAAATTCTCTGCTCTTTTCAGGCAACAACCTTGCCAAATGAATATAAAGAAGGCAAACTTCAAGCATACAGGTTGATCTGTGCTATGATGACTAGGCGCCAAGATGTTTTGCCAAATTCTGATTTCCTAGTGCATTTTTATCTCGTGATGCACATTGGCTTAACTAGTGAAGATCAGGTAAAAGCTTGACTTAAAATAATTTAATTGCATTTACTATATTTACTACTGCATTTACACATTTTTACTACATTGTTTTGATGGCAAAGCTTGAATTAGTAAATTTGAAGCTATGAAGTTGGAGGGAAATGGCTGTACCACAAACTACAATAAAGTATGGACTAGAAATGATTTATACTGTAGCCTAAACTATTCCTCTCCCTATCTGTGTATTGTATATTTACCTCCTTTTCTGTTCTCCCAAATTTTGTTCTCTCCAGCATGTAAACTTTCAAACTGCTGCTGGTTTGCTTGTTTCATGAGTAAGAATAATTCTTGTTTTTCGAGTCATGTCCCTGTGGGTGCTCCACTTCAGCTGTGCATCCACCTTTGATTGGAGAATTTTGGTAGCAATGCCCATTCAGCTTGCGCATGCACCCTGCGCATCCTTGTGCTCCATACAGAGGCAATGTAGGGCTGCATGGGCAAACTGCTCTCAATTTCTTCCCAATCTCCTCTTGCCAGAGATGGAATTTAGTATGCGCCTTTTTCCTCTTTTATTAGTATTCCTAGCATTATTAGTTCTTAGCAGCAGTAGTAGTGGTACGTTTAGTACCTTATAGCTTTTGGAATGTTTGTTCACATTTATTTCTTTTCTTTAAAAAAAAAAAAACATTTTTGTTTGTGTTTTCCCTTATTGAAGGGCCTAACAAACTTTCTTCTGTCTGGAATGTTGGACTCCTCAGGGTTTAAAATATGCCTCTCTTGTCAACAAGCAAACTCTGTCAGTGACGGGCAATCTCAGTGTATTAGTTGTTTGAGAGAGACTCCTATTCCCAGCAAATGCAAAATCTTCACTTCTTTTAAGGGAAGATCCTTTAAGAGCAGGGAAATAAAGTATTGGCTCTTAATTATGGAGCAGATCTTAAGACCGGTTTCTGTCCCGGGTGCAGAGAAACCCTTCTGTACAGAGCCCCTCTACTTCGGTCAGTGCCCTGTCAACGTCAAGAGCATGGTCATGAAAGCTTCCAAGGTGAAGATGGCATCGAAACCCTGGCCTCCGACATTGTCCACGAGAGAGGTACCGACAGCAGTGCAGGGTGTACCGAGAGCTTCCCACTCAAAGACTAAAGAGGGTAATAAGAGGAGCAAAACAGAGAGTTCCTCAAAGACGACATGGTTACTCGAGACTTCAGGCCCCAAGAGGAGTGCTAATGAGGCTCTGAGAACTTCAGCCACTGCGAAGCACTGTAAGATGTCAACTAAATCCCATATCACGGCAGTAAAGGACTCGATAATGAAGACGAATATGAGCAACAGAGCAGTTTCAATGGTATCTGTGATCCCCTCGATACTGACATCAGTGCCTTGAACAATGGCATCCAGAACATCATCAGTGCCTGTACCAAGTTCTGTTGTGCTCCCAGTACTGTAGGAATATTGGTACCCAAAAGACCTCATGGTACTGAATGAGCCTGAGTCTCCACAGCTTGTGACCTCCAGACATCTCTCGGTACCAAGGTCTGCTGGGTCACCAACTGCTCATGTTTCTATGAAGCTTGCCTCTTCCACAACTTCTGTTAGCCATGATGAGGGATTGTCAGCTACGATACAATATGTGGAGGAGCAGTCTGACTCAGACTCTAAATTTTCTGTTTAAGGCTTTCCAGGTTATTCCAGGAGACTTTATTTCTTGATACAGATGCAACAAAGGCAGGATAACAGACCCCTGGCTACTAACACTTGGGATGACCAACGTTGGATACCTCCCCCCATGCCTTATGATCCCTCTTATTGGCCTAATTGGGGTCCATGGGCAATGTACCACTAGCAGTTTCAGGGGACCCTGATTCAGTCCCATAAGGAACACAGAAGACCTTGTTCCCTGGCACTGTCCATCCCTCCTCTCCACTCTGAGCTAGAGGAGACCTTTGAGAAGCAAGAGGCAAGGGCAGCCAAGGAGGTTACCCTTTTACAAACATCTTGTCATCATCACCTCAAGAGGCAGTCATGACACCACTGCCATGATTAGCTGATGACTTCATGCAATTCCAGGACCTGATGAAGTGGGTCCCTTACACTCTGCAGATTCCCCTGGAAGAAATCCAGGAATCCCATCACAAGCTCCTGAACATATTGCACACTTCTACTTCAGTGCAGGTGGGACTGCCAGTTAACAAAGCCCTTCTTGAGCCAGCCAAGACCATCTGGCAAACTCCAGAAACACACACACCCTCCCTGCCACGTGTGCAAGTGGGCTGATTAAAAATATATACTATGTCCTGGGCATGGATTCTGAATTTTTATTTTCTCACCCAGCACCAAATTCTCTGGTCGTGGATACAGTAAATGAAAGGGGCAGGCAACATACCCCAAAAGCCTCACCTTATAATAAGTACTGGAAATATCTGGACCTTTTTGGTCATAAGAGCTACTCATTAGCAACGTTACAGCTCATGATAGCTAATCACCAGCACTGAGGTCATAATATGGCTGCCTGAACTACAAGAAGTTTAATGCTTTTATTGCCATTTTCCACAGGAACACCAAGAGCAGTTTAGCACCATAATAAAGGAGGATCAGCTTTTGGCAAAAGCATCACTGCAGGCTTCACTTGATGTGGTGGACACTTCAGCCAGGTCTGTTTCCACCACAGTACTGATGAAAAGAGCTTCCTGGCTTCAGCTGTCTGAAGTACAGTTGACGGTGGAAAGTTTACCTTTCGATGGCCACAAGTTCCTTATGGACTCCAAAGATGATTAGCTTTATACCCTAAGTGACTCTAGGGCAACACGTAGGTCTTTAGTGATATGCACACCTGCAAATAAGAGAAAATTTAGCAGGTCTCAGTTGACACAAAGATCCTGCCCTGTTCAGTTTTCCTCCTTCTATGGGCCACTGGCTAAGAGCTCGAGATTTTCAAAGAAGAAGCCTTAACGCTACATCGACTGCTTCATCCCAGACATCAGCATCATCTAAATACCACTTTTGATAGTTTGATTGAGACCAAACCACCCACTAACCAGCATTTCTCATCTGCATGACACAACCCCCACGCCTCAATTCGGGCACCACTTGTCTCTATTCCATCAAGCATGGGAAGCTTTAACATCGGACTCAGTGGGTAGGAGAATGGGCATTAAGAGGAATGATAGCATCATTGGTATTACCACTAACAGTCAGGTAGGCGATACTGGTAGTAGAATGGCTGTACCCAGTCGGGTGAGGAATGTGGGCAAAGCCAAGCATCAACAATTAAGATTTTTGTACACCAATGCAAGGAGCCTGGGTAACAAAATGGTGGGACTAGAACTATTGGTGCAGGAAATGAAACCAGATATTATAAGGATAACAGAGACATGGTGGAATAGTAGTCATGACTGGACTACAGGTATTGAACGGTATTTGTTCAGGAAAGACAGAAATAAAGGTGAAGGTGATGGAGTAACATTGTGTATTAATGATGAGGTAGACTGTAAAGAAATTAGAAGTGATGGAATGGGCCAATTCCAAATTAGAAGAGTCTGTGTGGGCCAAAATCACTTTGGGATAGAAAGCTACTAGAGGTTCCCCTGGACTAGTGCTTGGGGTATGCTACAGCCTCCTGGATCCTATTTGGATATAGATAGCTGTATCTTTAATGTTTTTACCTAAATAAATACTACAGGGAATTGTGTGATTATGGGAGACTTTAACTTCCCAGATATAGATTAGAGGACAAACGCTAGTAATAATAGTAGGGCCCAGATTTTCCTGGATGTGATAGCTGACAGATTTCTTCACCAAATAATCATTGAACCAACAAGAGGTGATGCCATTTTAGATTTGGTATTGGTGAGTAGTGAGGACCTCATAGAAGAACTGGTTGTAGGGGATAACCTTGGCTCAAGTAATCATGAGCCAATTCAGTTTAAACTAAATGGAAGGATAAACAAAAATAGATCTGCAACTAAGGTCCTTGATTTCAAAAGGGCTAACTTAAAAAAAATTAAGGGAATTAGCTAGGGAAGTGGACTGGACTGAAGAACTCAAGGATCTGAATGTGGAGGAGGCTTGGAATTACTTTTAGTCAAAGCTGCAGAATGTATCTGAAACCTGCATCCAAAGCAAGGGGGGGAAATTTGTAAGGAAGGGTTGCAGACCAGGCTGGATGAGCAAGCATCTCAAACAAGTGATTAAGAGAAAGCAGAAAGCCTACAAGGAATGGAAGATGGGATGGATCAGCAAGGAAAGCTACCTTTTGGAAGTCAGAAAGAGTAGGGATAAAGTGAGAACTGACAAAAGCCAAGCAGAGTTGGACCTTGCAAAGGGTATTAAAACCAGCAGTAAAAGGTTCTATATCCATATAAATAAAAAGAAAACAAGGAAAGAAGAAGTGGGGCTACTAAGCATACAACCTGGTTTACAAAAGCTAGATCTTGCCAGACCAACCCCCCATCTCTTCCTTTGCGAAGATAACTGATTTTTTAGACAAAGGAAATGCAGTGGATCTAATCAACTTGGGTTTCAGTAATGCATTTGATACAGTTCCACATGGGAAATGATTAGGTCAATTGGAGAATATGGGGATTAATATGAGAATTGAAAGGTGGATAAGGAACCGGTAAAAACAGGTCATAATGAAAGGTGAACTGTCACCCTGGAGGGAGGTTACTAATGGAGTGCCTCAGGGATCGGTCTTGGGACTAATTTTATTAAACATTTTTATTACTGCCCTTGTCACAAAAAGTGGGAGTGTGCTAATAAAATTGCAGATGACACAGAGTTGGTAGATATTGCCAATATAGAGGAGGACCAGAATATCATACAAGAAGATCTGGAAAACCTTGTAAACTGGAGTAATAGAAATGGTATGAAATGTAATAGTGCAAAGTGCAGGGCCATGCAACAAGAATTTTTGCTGTAAACTGGGGACATGGAAGTGACCAAGGAGAAGAAAGATCTGGGTGCATTGGTTGATCACAGGATGACTATGAGCTGCCAATGTGATCCTGCTTACTTGCGTGGCTTGCATGAATACA